TCGGCTCACCGCAACCTCCGCCTCCTGGGTTCAGGCAATTCTCCTGCCTCAGCCTCCTGAGTAGCTGGGATTACAGGCACGTGCCACCATGCCCAGCTAATTTTTTTAATTTTTGGTAGAGACGGGGTTTCACCATGTTGACCAGGATGGTATTGATCTCTTGACCTTGTGATCCACCCGCCTTGGCCTCCCAAAGTGCTGGGATTACAGGCGTGAGCCACCGCGCCCGGCTGTCTCAAACTCTTGAGCTCAAGCGATCCTCCCTCCTAAACCTCTCAAAGTGCTGGGACTACAGGTGTGAGCCACTGTGCCCAGCCAGTCCCCTTAGTTGTTTCTGCTAATTGAAGAGTCAAGAAGCAGAAGTAAGGGAGAAGTCACCAGGCCAAAAACCAAGATCTTGAATGGAGAATTTGCTCTGCCCAGAACAACAGCCTGACATCTCTTGGCGACACCCTCCACCCAACTCACATAACAGTGGTTGAGGGATTCTCCTCACATATGCTGCCCTCTGGGCCACAGAGATAATCATGTGATTCTGGCTGAGCCAATCACAGTACCCCATGCCACAGATCCTGCAATTGGCCCAAAGATGGACACATGACCAAAGCCAACCAATCAGACTCTGCCCCAGGGCTTTTTATTAGGAAGCTGTCAGGGAAGAGCAATCTCTCCTCGAGGATTACAAGCCTGAAGCTGTCTAAGTCTTGGACCCAGCCTCATGGGGAGAATAAAACTAAGAAGAAAAACAGACAAGAGAAAGAGCATTTAGATGACACTCAAGTCCCTGGCTCTCATCATCTTAGAGAGCAGCCACTCTGTGGCTTAGTCAGAATAAGTGGACATTTGCAGCTTACCTCCTCACCATGTCTTTCACCTCCTGCCCATTGCCCTTCTCAGCCCCAGTTATAAGCCAATCAACAAACTGTACTGCACTGGCCATATAATTGGCTCAGGGTGCTCATGTGTCCCAAGCCACACAGGACTCTTGCAAAAACCGTTGACAGCTTTTTTCTACTGGACTCAGTAATTATTACCAATTCTGCCAAGTTGCTAACAGCTATGCCAGTTTTTTCTCTGTCTGCTCTCAGATCCATTCCCCACCCTGCCCTGTTCTGCATTGCAAGGACCACATTTCCCAGCCTCCTTTGCTCATCTTATCACTGTGTTTGGCTAATGGGAGGCACTGGCAGAAGACTGGCTCTGGGAGGAGAGGACAAGCCAGTGTATTTATCACCCTCTCTATCTCTGCATGTGGTGGGTCTTCAGCAGTAGTTGTATCTATTCCCTGATTCTAGCCACCACTGAGCAATCCAACCATGGGCCTATGCCTTCCAGACGGTTCCAGTTTCTGGACTGTAGTAATACCACCTCCTCCCATCGTCCTTCCAGCTGAGTAGCAGCATCCTGTAGTTCCTAACCCCCTGGTTTGTCTCACTATTTCTTAATAGCTTCTCAGCTCTTCCATCACTCATGAACCA